TAAGCTAGCACCTTAAGTTTAAACAAACAAAACACTTAGATATTGAATGTGTATGCAAGTTAGTTATGCATTTATTCTTTCAATCACTTTTAACATGAGCATATTAAAATAGTTGAAGTGCTTTTTATGTGTAGGTGTAGCACTGCTATATATTATTTTTAGACATCAATATCAATCAGTGATATTTTTAAACATACTGATTTTGAGAAGTTTTTGATACATTATAAGTTCCTTTTGGGAATTACTTGTTAAATAAAACTTTCGGAGGAAAACCATTTCAAAGCCTTTATCAAAGTATACAGAAAACAAACTAAATATCACAATCATATACTATATTTTGTATATTTTGAAAGAAAACAAAACCTTCATCATATACTACCAAATACAAAGATCAAACAGAGACAAAACATAGACTATAAAATAAAATAGCAAGATCCATTTGTGTACCAAATACAGGATTTCTATAAATATTCTAAATGAAACAAACACTTAAAATGAATATTTGCAGACAAAATGCCTGGTTAAGTTGTCAACAAATATAGACAATGAAGCTCGGGAGAGAGTCACCGGTCCTGCATTAGGGCCATGTTGAAGTTGTCTTTTTCTCCATAACAGAATGAATCCAAAATGAATCACCATATATTAATTTGCAAAAATAACTTCATACTAGCAAATCAACTTAAGACAAGTAAATTGTGGTAGAAGAACTTACTTTCAACCATAGGATACCAAGCTTTCAACATAAATCGCGCAAAACCACCAAGGTCTATGGATTTTCTGTACTCTATTATCTCTCCGGTAATAGAGAATTGTTTCTCTTCTATATTTGTTTGTCAATAATAGTGTATCATTCTTCACCGAAAGACATAATGGCAACAAACCGGTAAGTGGATAATCTACTTGAAGATTATCATAACTTATTTTAAAGAATTGAGTCCAAGAGTCTTCAACACCAAATTCTTTCATTTGCCATATAACAAAATAAGTTTGTTTGAAATTGTGAGAAAAACAAAGATAACCATTTAACACACTTAGATTTGCATTAATAGTTAACACTTTATCAAAACCATGAGGAGGTAGCAACTGAGTAAGTGCCTCGGTACCCAAATCAAGTGAAATAATCAGCAAAGACTTATCAGTAGTAATATACTTATAATTTTGATTTGCCAACCAATTAGCACTACCACTCAGATACACAACACCCATAGAGCAATAATCAACCTCACGAGGATTTTGAATATTTCTCCAAGCATTATCTTGCAAGCTGAAAACTCTTACCATTGTTCTCATTAATGCCACCACCTTATATGTATTGTTTAATTTATCAAAACCAAAGGTGAAATGAAAATGGTTATTTTGATGTTCATGCGAAAAATAACCTAATCTTTGTGACATTGTCCTTGTGGCCAGGTTCCAAAAGAGAAACCACGTCTCTCTATTCCCGTCGACGTTAGAATAGCCTGCCAAACATAGCAATCCATTGCAGGAACCAACTACACCATGAAAGTTCTTATCTTTCAATTGATAGCAAGGATCCTTGGGAAGATTGATAATGGATGGAGGGTTTTCGGAAAAACGAATAACTGTAAAGGATACACCACTGCATTCTGAGCTATATGCATCATCATTAGTATATACAGATGTGAAATCGCCATTTTGTGAAGATCGATGAAGGTGTAATTTTATGAAGGTGGGATCGGAGATTTGAGAATTCCATGACTTACACACATCTAAGTCGCAAGAGTGGCTTCACGGTAAGACATGACAACACTTCTCTAACGAGTTCGTCGGGAACGAATGCCGGTGATGGTGATGCCTTCGGCGAGTTTGCCGGAGTAAGGGGACTCATTTGAGTGTTTCCTAGTGTTGAAAAACTTTGAACCCTAATAACAGAATACACAATTGTTTTAAACACGGAAAAAAATGCATTTGTTTCTAATAAAAATTAATTTAGTACTTTCCTTTTTGAAAAATAAAATAAAAAATAATTATGGTTTTTTTTAACTAAACGTAAAATTTTATTTTTAATTTCCAGTAAAATAATTTAGTTTTATCTGAACAAAATTATCATGAAATTAATTCTAAAATAAAAATATTAAAGTCTTTTAAAGAAGTCGACGACTTCTTTCACTGTCTTGCTCCGCTTGTCACGGTTAAAGTCGTTCATTGACATATAGTCACACATCCAAAGAGAACTTGTACTTGCAAGTCTCTTCAAAGGCGACTATTGAGTGCTTCCTTTATCTTGTACCTATACAAATTTATCCTTTATATTTTTGTAATTGTACGAATTCAAAATAACTAAAGCCTTCCGGGTGAGTGCACTTACCGAGATCTTGCTATTCTTGTCTAGAGGTGTGCATGAATTATAAACCAAACCAAATCACATATATGGTTTGGTTTGGATCTTAAAACCATTTATATAAAACCAGTTTATTTTTTTAGAACCGATTTACAAGTGGATCGGTTCGATTTCAAACCAGTTTTAAACCGGTTTCTCTCAAAATCAGTTTTTTATTTTCTTTAAAAAAATCAATTTTAAAACCAATTTTATAAAAAAAACCAATTTTAAAACCAATTTTTTTTAAAAATCAATTTTATTGCAAACTATCAAATAATTGATAAATCACCTGAAACATTTTAATTCTATATTTTGTATTAAGAAATGAAAATGTTCAAGCACGAGTATTTGGCAGACAGAAAAATTGACTATTACATGTATGGAAAATTCATATAGAAATTCATCTGATCCAAGTTGTACATGTGATATGAATGCCATATCCACCTCCCATCCTCTTCACACCCGTTGAATGAAAATTTCTACTCACTGTCACAACATAACAACAATGTCTTCCAATTAAAAAGTAGAAAATTAAGGTAACAACAATGTCTTCCAATTAAAAAGTAGAAAACTAAGGGTAATAAAGGGGAAAACTTAATCAAAAATACCATTAAGTCATCTATGAATGCAACAGAGGTTGAACAACTCACTATCTTCTGTATAAACTAATTCTACAAAACATATAAAGACATTTCATTATGCCTCAAGTATAATAAATAATAATACATTAGGAAATATAGTTAGTTATCATACCTTGCTCAAATCTCTCAAGAGTATCAAAATCTTCATTTGTAATCAAGGATGAAGATGTTCCTTTGAGCCAATCCTGGGTGCAAATCAGTGCTTCAACTGTTGTAGGTGTTAACGAGCTGCGGTATGGATCAAGCACTCTTTCTCTTGTGCTGAATGCAAATTCAGACGCCTCTGCGCTTATAGGTATAACCAACACGTCTCTTGCAATGTTTGCAAGGATGGGATATCAGCCAGAGTTAACTTTCCACCACTCTAAAATATTTATCTCCATGTTATGCTCCAACTTCTCTCCAAGATAAGTACTTAATTCATTATTTGCATTGTCGCACCCTTCTAAAAAATAGAACTCAGCAATTCCATAAGGATGACTAACACTACCAAAAACTTGCGGCTCATCTGAATTACCTTGAGGAGACATAAATCCAACACAATATTCTTCATAAATAGATTTCAAGTAGAAATCTAAGTTTGCTTTCAAGGCATGGGCATCATCCTTATTGTAGTACCGCCTTACCATCCAATCAACCAATTTAATCTTGCGCCTAGAGTCGAAAACTAGAGCAATCAACAAAATCATATTAAGCTTCTCATGAGATCCCCAATACTTATCATACTTCTTCTTCATATTTTGAGCTGCTGAACGTAGATGTTCATCTTCAGACGCACACATAGCCGCAATGCTCTTTCCAATACCCAGGACCTCAAACATATAAATATTGCTTGTCAAATAAGATGACCCTGATATGTGTACTGTAGCATCATAAAACAACTTCAAGAACGGAATGTTTAAGTTGATATGCTTCCAATCATCTTTCGTCGGGACACCTTTTCCCTTCTTTGTCAACTCATTCACATACTTAGTGCAACATAAAATGTTTAACATAAATTGAAGTATGAGTATTTAACACAACCATCATTGATATCTTAGCTTAACACACAGTCCCTTTAAACAGAACAAAGATCCCAACAAAATACAGAAATTTATCTATAGTAGATATCTTAACAACTTTGTTAAAGAAAATATAAATTTATCTATAGTAGATAACAAGTCTGTTATTGAATTTTCTTTTTCTACTGCTCTTGTTATAAGTGCTCCTATTGACTTTCAAGTCGAACAGAACAGAAGAAAAAAAATTACTTTCTATTGCTTCTGAAAAATATTTCTGCTGACTGGTCCAATCATCGACTTGAAAGTAAATTTTCTTTGTTAGCCATTATCTATGATGAGTTAAATTTCTAGATTTTGTTGCCATAACATTCGCAATTGGGTAATCATGTTTTGCAGCAAGACACACTTGAAAATACAGTAAATCAGAGAAAGAAATACATGCATCCATTTCACTGCCTAGTTTACAAGGTAATGGAGCTAAATTCATCATGTGGGGGTATTTATCTTGTTAGTGAGGCCTATATTATTACAAATGTATATTTTAGGGTATTAAAATCCAAGCAACAACAAATTGAATGCATATGAACATAATAAAATGTAAAAAATTGCAGTGCATTCTCTTTAATCTCGAAAACCTTTTATCTCGAAACAAACATATAAGTTCTAAACAAACATAACAGAGGCATATGATGTTTCAGGTAGTATAAGTTCTAAACAAACATAAACAAAATAAAGTTTCAACATACCTTTTATCTCGAAAACCTAATTCTTCAAAGGTTCTTTCATGTTTTGATGCGGATACTAACATCAAATAAGTTGAATTCCAACGAGTCTCAACATTTATAGAAAATAAACCTTTATAGTCCATGATCTCCTTATCAATACATGCCTTGAATTTAGCAAGCCTCGCCGGAGAAGATCTAGCATACCAAACAACATGACGAACTCTATAAATAGAATTATCAATGTCTTTCAAACCTTCTTTCATAATTAGATTTAATATGTGTGCGCAACACCTCATATGAAATGGTTTCCGCTCATAACTAAACTATTCTTAGACAAAAGTATTCTCTTGAGACGTTCAACTCCAACATCATTAGATGAAGCATTATCAACCGTCAAACTAGGCACGCGGTTTAAGCCCCAATTGTTCAAACACATCTCCATTGTTTCACAAATAGCATCCCCTGTATGACTTGTGACTTGACAAAAATTTAAAAACTTCTTCTGTAAGTGCCAATTATTGTCAATGAAATGGGCCGTCACACACATATAGCTCAACTTTTGACAAGAAGTCCACATATTAGTGGTGAGACAAACTCTTCGACAATTCAGAGAGAAATTTTTTTTTAAAATTATCTTTTCTGTGTCCCATAGTTTCAAGACATCACGTGCCAATGTTGTGCGCGAAAAAATCTTAAATCTTGGTGAAGCGAGACTCATAAATTCATGAAAAGACTCATGTTCGACCTTCCGAAAAGGAATCTCCATGTTTATGAACATTTTAACCATTGCTCTTCGAATGACTTCTTGATCAAACTTGATGATTAAAGGAGACCCAACATGTTCTTCAGCATTTGTCATAGAAGACGATGTCCTTTTTCTCTTGTAAAAGAGGCATCTTGATAAATGGGCATGCATGGAACTAGTTCTGTTATTATACTTAATTTTCATGTCACAGTATTTGCACGAAGCTTTTTGTTCTTCTTCCGATGATACAATAAAATGATTCCAAACCTCTGAACGATTCTTTCGTTTCTTAATGTGAGGAGGTGGCATTTCATTAGAGATTGTAGGTGGCGGGGTTGAAACTGTATTCTCGGATGTTGCATAAGTTGTACCAACATTAGTCATCTTGATTCTGTTAAAATTAGGAAAATAAATTATAAACACATAGATTATTTATTCTTAAAATACAGTTTTCAATTAACTAGAAAGGCAAAGAGATTCGAACTTAATACATCCACTTATTAGACATGAATTTGATAGCACAAAACAAAGGCAAGGGGGTATCAACACCAGAAAACAAAGGCAAAGAGACACTTAAGTGATTTATATATGCTGTGTTAATTTGGTAATCAACCATAGCAAAAAGCAAAAGTATAAACAAACTAATACCAACTAATAGGACTATACTTCAAAGCAACAACTTCAAACATGATAATACATTTAATAGTAGCGGCTAAGTTCATCATGATAATGTCAACAAAAGAAAATAATAATAGTAAGTTCAAAGCCATCACTTTTCTGAAAACCTAGTCATAACACAAATGCTAATTTAATTGAGTCTATAGATATTCTAGGTTATTGCAGAGAGGCTGTCCGAGGAAGAAATTGGTGGTTTGAAAGAGTTATTTAGGATGCTTGATGCTGACAGAAGTGGAACCATAACATTGGATGAGCTAAAAGAATGCTTAAAGCGAGTAGGATATGGACTTATGGAATCTGAAATCAAGGATCTTATGGATGCAGTAAGATGAATCATTAGTTCATTATTTGTGACGCTTTTACCTAATTCTAAACTTAACAATCTGACAATTCTTATAATTTTGCATGTGACAGGCAAATATTGATAATAACGGCACACTCGACTATGGTGAATTCATTACTGCTACTGTCCACTTAAACAAGCTGGAAAGAGAGGAAAATCTTTTGTCAGCATTCTCCTACTTTGACAAAGATGGAAGTGGTTATATAACCATTGATGAGATTCAAGTAGCTTGTAAGGAGTTCGGTTTGGATGATATCCATATTGATGAAATGGTCAAGGAAATTGATCAAGATAATGTAAGTTTTCTTCTTCTCTATCTTGCTATTAAGAGCTTTCTTGTATAGGTCACATGTTTATGCAAACTGTCTTTCAAGATTATACTCCAACAGTAACATTTGTACTGCAGGATGGACAAATAGATTATGGAGAATTTGTTACCATGATGAGAAAGGGCAATGGCGGGATGGGAAGACGAACCATGACAAGCAGACTCAATTTCAGAAATGCTCTCAGAATCATAGGCAATAGATCCAATTAAATTATTGTACCTCAAATAACTATTTAGTGATAAAATTTGGACTGAGTTATAAACAATGATAACTTTCAACATTATCTGTAACATTAAAGTTTGTCTTTGTAAACTGACAAAAAATTAGAAGCCAAAATCACTCCATTGTGATACTTGATGATAAAAACTGCATTTAAGTTAAAGAAATATTTAAACAAATCCATTAGAGCAATGTCTAAGAAATCTCAAACAAAACTTTGAAGAGGAAACCAATCTCTACACCTACCTGATTTTATAGATATTCTAGAATATACTTTTTGCTTAAGTCAGTGTAGTATTGCCTTAATTTTACCGATCTCATTGTCAATCTAAATATGCACTTATAAACAAGTTAACTAATAAATATTATCTTATTGTGTTTGGTTGTACGGTGAAAAAAATTGATTTAAGCTATGAAATATAACTGTTTAAATGATTTAAGCAATGAAACATAACAATTTAAGCTATGAAAAAAATTGATTTAAACTATGAAATATAACTGTTTAAGCTATGAAAAAAAATTGAATGCACTTATAAACTAGTTAACTAATAAAATATAACTGTCCCTTAACAGACACATAGAAACATAATTGCTACTAAATGAAAAGTCTTAACAATTTGTTCACATTCTTTGTATACAACCATTATGTTTAGTTTGTATAGAACTTATAACTTTGGGCCTTTCTAATGGCTTTGAACTTAAGCTATGAAATATGGTTTAAGGAAAATGATAATGTCAACAATATTGAGACACACAAACACCTCACCACGATCTCATTCCCTCCTACCTCATTTTCTAGCTAACAAGAATTTACAGTAGCTAACAAGAATTTGCAGTCCCTAAATACTAGTTTCTGAACAATTTCTAGCTAACAAGAAACCATGCATTATGTAACACAAATAATTTAGAGTTGGAAGTAGTTTTACAAACAGGATCCAACCATATTTTTAGGGGTATGGCATTGTCTCTGCTAAATAGCTTAATGAAAATAGATCAAACATCTGGTATGCAAACATAACAACTGGGAGTTTAAAATTATAGCAGTATAGAAAATGTTCAAAAACTAATGGGCTCACCTGCGCACGACCACGACCGTATTTCAACACCTCCGCCTATTCAGCAACCCAAACAACAAAGCTCCTGTCTTCAACGTATCTGTCATCCGCAACTTCCTCCGTCGCAAAGAATTAAGATACAAATGAGATTAAGGTTTGAAATTTGAAGAATGATGAAGAAGAAAGAGATGAATAAAATTTAGATTTTGAGAATTAGGGTTTCTGAAATTTGTATTGATCTTGATTTTACCAAACTATTTTACTTTTGTTTTTGAAACTTATTGAAAAATGGTTACCGAATCTCAAACCGGTTTGGAACAAATGGTTACCGTTTTTTTTTAATTTGATAAATGGGCCACCAAATTTAAAATATAAATTTGGTTTGGATTTTAAAATTTGAATTAATTTGGATAGAAATTTGGTTTATGGTTATTGGTTATTTTGCACACCCCTACCCTTGTCAATACTTAGTACCATAAAAAAGAAAGAATAGAATAGGTGTTGCCTCTGGTCTCTTACATTCGATCTCAAACCTCTTATAAAAGCTTAAATATTTGAATGAAGTATTGAGAAACAAGTGTGAGTTGTGCTGAGAAATAAGTGTGAGTTCTAAGTCCCATTTTGTTTAGAAAATAGGAGGTTGAACACTTTATAAGTAAGAAGACTCATACACCTATTACCTTAAAATTTTAGGTGAATATGTGGTGTCTCTCTCACATGTTTTAGTGAGTCTTTGACCTTTAGAATCATCTCCTTGTGTCGAAAGTCTTTACATGGTGGTCAGGCAGCACCTTCTGTTGAAGTACTCATGACGAGATAAAGGTTTATCTCAACAGTGGTATTGAGAAAGTGACGAGTATGTGGTGTCTCTCCCACTTAGCCCTAGGATCTAGGATTAATCAAACATGGTAAATAAGAACTTTACCCCATGACATAAATGTCAATTGTGTAAATATTAAAAAACCTATCCCATATCCCCTCACGACATTGTCAGATTAACCCTCTCACCCTCATTGCACGACTCCATTAAGACATCATCTTTGTTCTTAGTGGAAAATGTATAGACTCTTATGAAACAAGGCCACATTGGCTGCGCTCGTGAAGACTAAGCTATATTATCAACTCTTCCACCGAAGTAGACAATACTTGTTTTTCCATCAATGATCTCACATGTCTTGACAAAAACAAGGTCATTATCACTAATCTCATCGGAATCAGAGTTACTAAAACTATTATCAAAGATCCCCAAACATTCCTGGTTTTACAAGTTTTTAATCAAATCTCTTGTCACACCTCTTTGAGTTTGCTAAACAATTATTCCACATCCTACATTTTTCCAATGCATTCTAGATTATATCATACACTACCATGAATGAACATTTTACCACAGTTAGAAATGTGAGTTAACCTCAGTTTCTTATATAACGAAAGACATCATGAAAAGTGCACCATTAATTCCCTTGGTTGAAATTCGACCAAGGGGAAAGACTTATTGGTTATGTATTCGATCCCCAACAACTACATTATTATTATTTTCAAAATTAGACGGTGTTACTACTACAAATAATACTTTTTATGACAAAGGTTTCACCTCGAACATGCCAAAAACTGAGCTTATAGGTCATGGGAGCGACATGCTTGATTTTTTTTAAAACAACATTTTCCATATAAAACCGAGGTAATACATTAATAAGTGAGAACCAAATCTTCTAAAAAAAATTAATATTAAACCTAATACTTCAATGATTTTTAAAAACCGAGGTAACTGAGCTATTAGGGAAATGCTTCGAATCCCAGTAACTGCATTGAAGGTTTATTCCAGTGATTTCTCATTTGTCGCCTTCCAAATCTTCTCTTTTTTTCTTAGTTAATTTTTTTGTATATTATTTCCTATTCATTTTTAGTTAGTTGTTCTAATTAGTAATTCTTAAAAAAATTGTTAAAAAAAACGAATAGGAAATAATATGAAATGAAATATTTTATTAATTAAAAACATAACTAAAAATAACTATTCTATATATTCAAATTTTTGACTCCACTCAACTTCAATAGTATCACTATTAACTATCCCTAACTTAGAGAAAAGTTCAGAAAGAACTCTTTCATATGGTATGAGGAATTCCATTATGTCCCTAGAGATGATTATCATTTCCTTTAAGAAATTAAAAATGGTAAGAGAAAGATTAAATATGATGTTCTTGGTAAGGAATAACAATAGATGTTTGTCATTCCTAGTAAGCGTTTCTAGTTCTTTCTCTCTTCGATGGAGATTTGACATTATAAGTTGTTACACAACTTTTTCAATTGGTCGTAGACTAGCAGGACTGCCGAGATTACCGTTGGTTGCATAAATTAGGCGAATGTGGTATTTAAAGATATTGTTGAATTTGTAATGTTCAACACAAACACCTTCCTATTCACATTTTATTGTCTGAGTAATAAGTGACTGAGTGATTGTGATAGGAAAGCCATTGACATGGAACTGGATTGACTCAGCATCATGACCAGATGGCCCAGCGAAGGCATTTAACCATAACTTTTTAACGAGATTAATGTAGATGGGTAAGAATGTCAAAGTAACTGTTGAACTTGTTTGCGAATAGTTGTTCTTAGATCAAAATCTTTGTCTTTCAAATCATAGAAATCGATAAACTTTTCATTAATTATGAACAAAAAAATTTCATCTAAGATTGTTAAAGACATTTTTGAAGAAAATAAAAGACTTTTAAACTAGGTTTGAAGACACAAAAAGTTGGAAAT